GGTAATTGCAATTTCTATGCATTCCAAACAAACGTTGTTGAGAGAAAAAAAGGCTATTTAAAGACTCAGAGAAAAGTTTTTTCTTCAGCACTCCATAAAGATAAAAACTCAAAATCCTGTTTTGAAATCGAATTAGTTCCTGGAGGCTAGTCTTATCAGTTTTTTTTATTTATTGATAATGAATAGAAATTGAATCCAACAGACTAAGTGAGAAATCATTTTCAAAAATTCCATTTCTTTTTAATTAACTGGGAATAGACAAATACAAAATTTATGGCTGAAAATTGAAGACTAGAATTAATGAAGAGTCAATGCTGATTATTATATATAAACTTTTTTTATCTCTACCACGTGTTTTTAAATTGTCAAAATATGCTACTGCGTATGCAATGGCGTGATACCTTTTCTCTACAAACAAAACACAGTTGTATACACAGGCCTATAGATAACTTACAAAAGATTTGAGATGTTAAACTTTTTTTTATATACTCCAATTTCTTTTAAAGTCAGATTTAAGCAAAGACTTGTGGTTTTATGGAAAAGTCCAAACCAGAATACAACAGTAAGAAATCTAAGCAAACTGGGGAAAATCCAGTTGTGATAACAGTACACTTAGTTGTACGTGGAGTATGAACCGAGAGGAAATGTCACGTGAGTCAGAGACAAATATTTGAAAACACCAACCAGCAAGCGGTCGAACAAGTTGGGAAACATAAGCCTCGGGACAGGAGAACTAACACGAGGTCAAAATTTACGGCAAACATCAAATCAGGCAAATTTCCGCCGTGTATGTCAGCATTTTAAATAAACTTATCATATTTTTTTTTATAACAAAAACGTATGAATAAATAAAGATTCCAAAGAGAGGTTCGTTACGGAAATTCAATGTCTCAAGAAATCACAAACCATTGCAAAATTGGTTTCCGACCAAAGACAGTATTAGAGCTGATACAAGTACCAATTTTATGACCCTCTTTAGATTTTGTATCTGTTGTTTAATTTCTCTCCATATCAACCAATGGTTAAATCTGGAGAATCGGGCAAATAGCTCAACATAAAACCACACTGGAAACGTCACCCATGACATTTTTTGTCGGTCCCTCAGTGATTTTCTCTGTACAAATAGTAATCATGCTAACTTTTGCTTAACCAAAGATAGAATTATAAGAGTTTCACAACACTATTCATGGTTTTTTTTTCGTTATGGGGGTGAAATATGGTTGCATGAGGTGTGTTGCTTTCAGCACTTGTGGGGAGGATGCTTCATTTCATAGTTCTATTGAAAAATCAGTTCAACCAGTAATGACTGAGGTTCATATTTTCTGTCATTTGTCTTCACAAGTTGTGATTTGGAATTGAGGTTATGTGATTTGACCTCATCAAAATATCAAACTTTCTCCATTACAAATGGAAATCATAATGAAATGGGGGAAAATTGCAGAGGCTATCTTTAAACACAGGCAAAATTTTGGGTGTTCTTTTTTTTGTTTTCTTGATTAATGTGCTTTAATTCTGTTATAAGAGACTTTTGTAGCATCGCAGTTACCACACAATCTGAAGTTCAGCAGGTTATACAATATACTACGTATACTCATGGAATCAGTAGTCTCTAAGTCTGGGTATGCTGAACCCTACAAGTATTTATAGTAATCAAATGAAAAAAGAAAATCCAAGTCCGTGACTATTATATATTGTTTTTTTTTTCACAATAAAATTTTCTAATTCCCTGTGGACCTACGGAACGAGACAGCACTCCATACATAACGATGGGCTTGATTTCACTGAAATAATTATTGGATCTATTGATAATTTATTTGGTCTACATGTATGTATACAAACTGTACATGTATTTCGCTTCCAATGGTGATGACTGTGCCTCTTCAAATGATGAATAATTATACATGATTGTATCGAAAGATATCAAATATTGGACAAATTGAAATCTCTGTTTTGTAAAGATGCGTTCTTTTTTTCATTGAATGTTCTACTAATACATGTACACGCTCTTTGAATCCAAAATGTAGTTCTTAGTTACCGTTTTCACTACGAGATCTTATTTTGTTTCGTAAAATTTAAAGCTATAATAATCTAATTTATTTCTTACGTTTCTACTTCGAAGAAATTCGAAATTAATTTAGAGGGGAAATTAATACAAATTATTATTAGAAGCCCCTTTTTCTTTTCAATTTGGAAAGTGGATAGTTCTGTAACAAATATTGAGATGGAAAGAAAACTGTCTCAAATTGAAAATTGAGGTAACATTCCACTGGCATGGTGGGACTTATTGAAGAATAACCCTTAGGTCGAGAAATTCTAATACTGTTTACTTTTCTTCGCCATATATTCATCAGGTAAATTCATCGGGTTAACGAGAAAACATCGATTTATTAACAACAAAAGCTGACGCCGGAAACTACTCTCCTGTCCGATCCGACAAGTAGTTAATCACCTGTCTTGTAGAATTGTACTTAACGTTGAGGATTTATACTTATTACCTGTTTATTTACGAGTAATATATCCACCTATAAAGACTGTAGTCCTGTAAATAGGGCCACACGTGCAATAAGAGAGAGGGGGTCCCACAAATCTGTGTATAAATACGCTCCTCATATATTCAATTTGTTCACCAAGAGTTCCAGGTCGACGTTCTGTCCTGCCTGTTCATATTCCTTTTTCCTTACCATGTTTTAATAAGTTTATTTCCTTACATGCCATTAATCGTTTTATGAATCTTATGAATATATGGAGATAAGGAACGGCACTCAAGCTCAAAAGTCCATAAAACGATACAAAATAGGAGCAATTAAAGCAAACAAAGACCTCCAATCAGAGGTGGGATCAGGTGCCATGGAGAAGTAACCATCCCCTGCCGACCGGTCAAACCCGCCGTGTGCTCCTTGTCATGATCGGGAAGTAACAAAAAATCCGTCGTCACACAGTGTGTAAATAATGGACTAGAAATTGGTACGAAAAACGTCAGTCAGCATTTGACTCGATGAAAAATTGTATTTGCTGACTAGGTCATTGTATCAATCATAGAACTTATGAAATGATGACTTTAAACGAGACTGCTGATATCCTTGTTTCATCAACTTGTTTGTCAATAAATTACCTCGTTTAAGAAATTGTACATACGTAGAGCATCTGTAAGGAAAATATTTCTTTAATAAATAAACGATCACCAGATTGTGTCAGAATGTTTCTTTCGTGCCCTGAAATTTCGTTCTCACCCAGTGAAGAAGAGTTACTGTAAAATGTGAATCTAAGCTTAAATCTTTTAACTTTTTAATTTTCTTACCTTTCAAAAAAGAAAAAAAAGTCTTTTCGAATATATATAGCAACTTTCTTTATATGAAAATATAAAATGTAAGTGCAACTGTTGAAAGTAAGACTGCACATTAAATTAAATTCTCAATTGTCATTTTATGCTTTTATCGTCTTTCTTGGACACTTTAATACTACGACTTAAATATAAAAATCTTATTTCGTTTAAAAGAAGGAATATCCTTGCACTCTCACAAATTTAATTTTATTCTTAATCCTTAGGAAAAGTGGCAATCTCGTTTTGTATAAATGAAAAATATTAATACTATAATCCAGAAAAATTCAGAGTAGACACGTTCGAAAGCAAAACAAATACACAATATATTGTCAGTCCGTGCAGTTGTTAAGCAGACTGTTTTTGAACGCACCCGGTGAATTCTACATATAAACAATAACAGAACTCGAGCCCTGTTTACAAAAACTGTGTACATAACACGAGTGTGCTTTTGCTAAACTCTGTACGCATCTCTTATGACGATACTTGTGAAGGTGTTTTGCTTTATAACATTTCTACTCTAAATAAAATTATTTTTCTTGATAAAAGTTTTAATATTTCTCATTAGAACACATCAAAATTGCCACTTTTCCTAATGATTAAGAATAAAGTTAAAATTTGTGAAAGTGCAAGGATGTGTCAATCAAACCCGCCAAAAAATTTAAAGTTTTAATAACTTTTAAATGAAATAAGATTTTTAATTATTTTTTGTGTGAAATGCTATTAAAATATATAATTCGTGATATTATACATAAAAAATGAGAAAATATTAACTTCAAATCTGTGTCCAAGTACCTTTAAAATGAAGGAAAAGTACAGTCGGTATGAATCCGAATTGCATAGCCAGGTTTTTTTTTCATTACCACAGCCACTCCTATCTTTCTTTACTGGTTTCGGTTTGTCGTTTTTCAAATCACTTGTATCTATGACTTATAAATCACTTGTATCTATGACTTATAAAAAAGATCTACATTCTCTCTCTTCTTTAAGATTGAATCGAGTTGATAATTTGAAACTCTGAATTTTGGAGAAAACGGGGCCTAAATGTACTATAATTCTGGATAAGAAACAAGTACACGATTATTATATTCGAGCTTTGGTTAACCGCTTTGAAGTCTTTTTAACCGTTTGAATTTCAAAAGGTCGACACTAGTGATTTGAGGCATGCACCACATTTACACCAGTTCAGCTTTCATTGTCTGAAATCAATACACAGAATCTACATTTATTACATTAAATCCATTGTGGAAAAAACTTAAGTAAAATCCATGGATCTGCAACAGATTTATGTCTTCTGAGTGTTAACTTAATGAAGGATTGAGACGCATCAATGTAACACGGCTTCTCCCTCCAAGGAACCTTACTTATATAAGCTAAAGATATTATATCCTGTTATCCTCTACCATATTCCAGTATTACTGTTTAAAGTTCGATTGCAAGAAAATATTTTGTAAAAATAATCACCATGTGTCTGCAACTGTCTTCAGTAAAGTTATAATACGGGGGAAATGTAATATTAAACACTACTAGTACTGTGAGCTGGATGAAATACGCAGAATCACTTATCATTCTTCCACAGAAAAAGGTGTACTTTTTGCTTATATAAAGTTATATTTAATTTGTTTACAACCACATGATTTCATGTACAACTTAACAATATTTCTATGACCACTATGCCTACCTGTTTTTCGGTGTCTTTGACGGCTTTTAATGCGGCAGGATTTAGTACCCTTTCACAGTAACTACCTTCCAGAAGGGTTGCTCCAGAAAGTTTTTGAGCAGATTCACTTTCGAAGTGAAAAAGTAGGTTTTGATACAATACAAAATAGCGAAGTTGCCATTTCCCGGTGTCGCTGCTGCGCTTGTGCAGGTAGCCGGAAATGGTATTTTCTCGGCGGGATTTGGCTGCCAAATACTGCAGTTGGGTTTCGTTGAATCGGATGCCTTTCTGCATGACCACGACCTGATTTTGCTGCAATACAGAAAATACTGAAAATACTGAAATTTTCCTTGTGAGCAGCGAGCATGAATTCTATTAATTCTATAAGTATTACAATAAGTATTACATCTTTTATTCGAGAATAAGTATGTATCTAAGTGCATTTATATAATATGCTTTGTTTGCTTTGCTTTTTTCTCTATTTTCCAGAAAGTAATATAGTTTAATAAAGCTCTTGGGAAATTACAACAAATTTGATGCCGGGAATCATTAAGCCACCCTACGCTGCAGTGTGAAGCTATGCTTTCCTCTAACGCGACATATATGCTAGCATAAATTGTCAAGAAGAAACCTTATAATAATGTAATCCAAGTTTGATTAAAATGAGAACAAATGATTCACTTCCTTTTATTTCGTCTTTTAATCGATTTTTCCTACAGTGTTTCCTAACGTTTTCCTTCTCTCCATTTTTTGAAATCCATACTTATTGAGAGATAATGATTGTGCGTCATTAATTACGCTTTATTCCCTCTTGTTTTTCTCTTTCTGTTGTCAACCAAACTGATAAGACAGTCATTAGCGCGGGAATCAGTTTTTTCATAAAAAAAAATTGTCTTTTGATTGTAATCTTTTCTCAAAACCGATGGCATTCGCCTCGGCACGGTGACAATTTCGCATTTTGTAACATCAATCACCGAGCTTTTAAAGACACATTCCGGACTACTATCCGGTGTGGCACTTAAAACAACAGGGAGAATCTCAGAGTTTCTGTGTTGATCAATAACCCGGAAAAACCATATTAGTTTTGTATATTTTATGTCATACTCTTTCTTTTGTTAACGATTTCAAATAGTTTACACCGGGATTTCAGACTGTTTTTCTGAACCTAAATCAATGAATCAACGTCTAAGTTTTTATGCTTACCTTTAGGCGATTGTAATTACTGGTAAATTTTTTCCTCTATATCATCGCAAATTATGAATTACATCCATCAATTATAAAACAGGATTTTTAATATGACAGTGGTAGCGCTCTGGAGTATTTGACGTTCATAACGTTAATTTGAGGACACTTCCATCTAAACGTTACACCATTTCACAGCACTCCTTTTTGAAGTCTTGATATTACTCGGTGAATTTTCTAAAATTCTTATTTTGTCACATATCCTCTATTAAGAGTAGCGACCCCTTCAATCATTTAATTTATGCTAAATCCAGCAGCCTTTCGATCGATGTGAAAGAATAGGTGTATATTTTAACGTCGGTTATTTTTCCTCCGTGCGCTTGCCCAATATACAATTCCATTAATAATACATATAGCGCCTATTTCCTATTTACAAATGTTTTAAAGTAAATGTCCAATCTGCACGCTAGCAGTTCGCGCGCTTTGTCAACCCGCCCAGGTGCACGAGAGTTTTACATCTACTCAGTATACAGTTGCAGTGAGTGCTTAAGTTCGATAAACCGTTGAAATCACATGACGTTATAGTGTTCCACAAAGACAATAGATTTTCCTACATAATCTCGCCACTCGCACCTGTCTCCTAGCTATTCTGACGATCCGTCGGTTGTCATCGCCTCGATTTTACACTGCGCGTCAGAATGTCATTAACACAAATTTATATCAAATTCTGGACAATCATTTTCACTCCATTACAACCAAAATGGCCCTCCGAACGCCACGCAATGACACTACTTTGCTAATGAAAAAAACTTCACTCAACCTGCAGTTTCTCTCAGCTTTCGTCGAGTCATTTCGTGTGCATAATGTGTATCCGCTAGGACGTATAGATTTTGTCGTCAGTAGTGTGAAGAGGCTTTGTTCCCCGTGCATACCCGACCTAAATGATCGGTACTCTTTCTTATATAACGATTTTCTCTGCAATATTGTTAGAAAAATATCAATAACTGTGTTGTTCAAAGCACGCTCACTGATCTGATTTTAACCTAGATTTGCTTCAGATGTTGTTTATTTAAAACAGCAAACAGGAACAATTTTAACTAGGTTTAAGTGGGGAAAAATATATGCATGTGTTCTGTTCGTACGCGTAAAGTTGCTTTGATGGTTAACTACTGAAACAGATTTTCATCATAGACTTTCATTGACACTAGCACCAAAGGCCAGATTAGGTGGTATTGTTCTAATATATATATCGAATATAATACACTAAAAAGTTTAATTTAAGTATTCTATTCAAAATACTGCTGTTAAATTCACCTGCATGTTTTTTTCCAATCAAGCATTTTAAGAACTATTTGAGATACTGTACTAGAATGTCAGTTCATATTGACTCACATTGGTTTCTTTTTTTTTCATTATTGCACGTTTTAATTAGTTAAAACCAATGTATTTCTAAACTGTATTTCTTTTGCAAATGAATCTGAAGTTTCACCATGATAGGATAAGGAAACCTCATTTCCAAGGATGTGTATGCCGAGGGAAAAATAGGAGAGAGTTCCGATACAGTTTAAGGATATACGCATCTTAGCCAGGATAGATAACTACAGTATCATTTTAGTCCAAAAGTCTCAAAATGTAGCTTGTAATCTTTGCATGTCCTTTCCTGCATACCAATTTGATTCAAGCTTCTACGAAGTGTTAACAACAGTCTTATGAAAAGTTGACATTTGTACTCCTCCAAGTATTTTCAAATACTCAGTAGTCCCAAAGAAATCTATTTTTCTTTAACCTAGCCTTATATAACAATGTTCATTGACATTTATATAACAATGTTCATTGACATAATATTAAATTAGAAGTGATAATTTCGATGAATTGCAATAATAGAAAGAGAAATGGCTCTATTTTTTAAAACTAGACACTCATTAAATATATGTCATCCATGCAAGTTTGGTTCAGAGAGGCCTTATATCGGACCAGCGCAAAAAACTTGGTCACTGGAAAATTTAGGCCAAATCCAACATCCGAAGCAAATCCAGTAGTGTGCATCTTAAGAACCATTCATGCAAACTTGGCTATGGTAGGACAGTTACACATCCCTAAGAATGAACTGCTCCGAAAGCTTTAACTTGGTGGTAGAAAATGAATGGTAATATGCATTCTGAGATGTATCATCAAATTTGATGTAAGCTTGGTTAACATAGACCTTATATATAACAATTACTTTAGTATGGAAACCGCCCAAGATTGAATTACTATGTTTACAATATATATCGGCCACACGGGACTCCCAAGTCATGTTCTATATATTCATATTGAATTATTATGAATATATAGAACATGACCGCCCAAGATTGAATTACTATGAATATATAGAACATGACCGCCCAGGATTGAATTACTATGAATATATAGCACATGACTTGGGAGTCCCGTGTGGCCGATCATGACTTGGCCGGGATTGTAAACATGACCGCCCAAGATTGAATTACTATGAATATATAGAACATGACTTGGGGGTCCCCTGTGGCTTTCCATACTTTAGAACTCCAAAACTATTACCTGGTAACTCAGCCTGGATGTCTCTCTTCTATCTTTTGTTCAACGTCCCTCTTCAGAATTTTTCACTCGGATGGAGACGCCACCACTTGCCGGTGGAAGGCTGCATTTAATACCTTTACACGACATTCAGCGCCATTCAGAACTTGAGAAGTGAGGCATCTTTTTCATGTCATTCTTTACTCCGCGACTCCAGAGCAGACGCTCTAACCATTGCGCCACGCGAGGGACGACAGTCTTGCAAGTTTGGCTAACATAGTGCTCATTCCTTTAGAATGAATCTGCTCCAAAAACCTTAACCTGGTCACCCATCTGTAAAATGTTGGTCAGATTCATCATCCGAAGCAAGCCTGGAGTCTAGTGTGTATCCTCAGATGCATCACTAGACTGGTCAACATAGGACTTATAGTTACAGATGTACTTGGAAATGAGACCAGCTCCAAAAACTTAAACCCTCTACATTAACATGGTCATTCCTAAGCTGATATTGAGGCATCTGCATCTGATACTTTGACAGGTACAATAAAACAAACCAGAAAAATCTTATGCATCTGATAAATGAAGGCCATAGAAGTACTTAAAAAAACTGCTTAAAAACTTTAACCTGGGACTCCGACACTGAGGTTATCATATAAGCTCACCCAACTTCATTGAGGTCAGCTAAAATAAGAGAACAAGATGTGTTTGTAAAACACTGATGCCCCCCTCCCCCCCCCCCCCCCCCCCCCCCCGCATGGCAACACGGCGAAGGTTTTTTTTTTTAATGCAAATCAAATTAATATGTTGGTACCCAAAGTAAGGCCTTCTAACAAGAAATACATTTGTCAGATGTGAAAGTCCTAGCACCACCAAGTTAAGGCCAAGGTTAAAGTTTTTAAAAGTTAGGTCAAACTCCAGGGTCAAGGTCAAAGTTGTTGGATTCTAAAGAAAGGCCTTGTCACAAAAGTTACATACCTATGATATGATATCATAATATAACATATAATAATATCTGAGGTATGAAAGCCCTGGCCCAAACCGTTCAAAAGTTACGGCCAAAACTTTTGTTTTTAATGGTCAGATTTGTTGGTTTCTAAAGAAAGGTCTTGTCACAAGGATTACATAATATAATAAACTATATGAAAGTCCTAGCACAATCGTTCATAAATAAAAGTTTGGATTTTAGTGTTAAAATGAGTTAAACTCCAAAGGCAAGGTCAAGAGGTCAAATTTGGTGATACCCAAAGAAAGGTCTTGTCACAAGAAATACACCTGAGAAATATGAAAGCCATAGCTCTACCCACTTAAAAGTTATAGGCATGCTTAAAGTTTTTGCGGACAAACAGACAGACAGACGGATGGGCAGGATAAAACTATATACATGTACCCCTGAAACTTATTTTACAGGGGCATAAAAATTCAGAGTATTTCTATGCGATTTTCATTATGTTCCAATAATTTTTAAAATGTTTTAAGCCCAAATAAAGTAACTTTCTTTATATGAGCTGAGTGCAGATGTGTATTTTGCTTGTCCAACAAGCAAATTCAAAGAATTGTAGCCCCCCCCCCCCCCCCCCCCCCCACGTTCGGTGTCTTAGTTGATGGCATGCAATTATTTATGGCATATTGTGTAAAATATGTCCGTCCTATCATGAAGCCGTGTAAAAGTAATCATAAAAGTTAAAATATTTGAAAATTAGTTCAAACATTAGGGTCAAGGTCAGGGGGTAAAAAAATTATAGTATGCTTGAAAATATCTTATGTGTAATGCACATGTCAAATACGACAGCCCTATCTCTCCTCTATCAAAAGTTATAAGGAAAGATAACATTTTTGAAAAGTATGTCAAACGTCAGGGTCACGGGGTCAAAAATCACAGTGTATTTATAAAGCTCTTGTCACAGGTAATACACTAGTGTAATATGAAAGCCCTATCTTTTGCCGTTCAAACGTTAATGGTCAAGGTTAAAGTTTTTTGAAAAGTAGGTCAAAATCATAGTATATTCAGTAAGTCTTGTCATAGGTAACAATCTGATTAAAATCGACATCTAGATATATCGACGATGAAAAAGACGTTATGATGACGACTTTAAACGAGACTGCTGATATAATTGTTTCTTCAACTTGTTTGTCAATAACTTACCTCGTTTTAAAAATTGTTCATAGTTACGTAGAAAATGCTCTTCCGTATCGAATCAACTGAGAGATAAAAACTATGTTTGCAGATAACAAAGGCGTATTGCTGCATAAGTAAGGGAAGTTGACGCTAGGAAAGTTAAAGTTATCACGTTTATAATAAAGTTTTGTTGTTAAGATAACCTTTCACGTCTTTTTCTAGTAAAAGATCCAAATATGAAACAGATGTGTAAGACTCTGTGGTATCTTTTATTTCAAGCTCACTGGAATATATCGTGTCGACATAAGAATAGAAATAAATAATGTTAGTTGATAATACGTCGTCGATATATCTAAATGTCGAGTTGAACCACAGCATGAACATTTTCTAATATTTGCATGTACGAGGGTTGTCCCGTAAAAATTATTTGTTAAATCTTGAAACTGTGTATATTACTAAAATAATATAATTGGAAATGTTTATTTAATAATACAACTTGTCCACGATTTTACTAGACAACTCTCGTATATATGAATAAAGGGAAACCGATAGTTATCACGTTAAAAAATGTTGCATAAATTTCTGACAGCTGCAAAAAAATTTTAAATTAAATGATCACCATGCAATAAGTGTCCACCAATTTATATTAACACAAAAATTACGGATATTAAAAAAAACTTGCTCTGTACCTTAATATAGGGTGTACCAAAGGAAATGTTGTGTTACCTGGCTGTAATTTCCCTTATCAATGATAATTACGCTCAAGAGATTGTCATGTAAGATATAAAAAAAATATCCACGACTACAATGACAATGATGCCTACCACAATAACCACGCCTACAACATCACCACACGCCTTCTACGCCGCCTAACCGCGTCTACTACAAAAACCACGCCTTCTGCAACAACAACGCCTACAATCAACAACAATCACGAATACAACAGCCACGCCTTCTACAATAACCATGTCTTCTTCAATAACAACGCCTTCTACAATAACCACGTCTTCTTCAATAACCAATCCTACATCATCACGCCTATTACTATGCCACGTTTACTACAATAAGCACGTCTACAACATCATCACGCCTACTACAACAACTGCGTCTAAAAAACAATAACGTCCACTACAAAGTCACGCCTTCTGCAACAAACACGCCCTTCTACAATAACCACGCCTACAACACCATCACGCCTACTACTATAACACGTCTACTGCACAAATCATATAAAAACAAAAATACGTTATACTCTGTGGATCTAGGTGTATGAATGGATACCGATAGATGTCTGAAAGTGTCTACTCAAAGTAACATTTTCAAGCGTGCGCATTAAGTATAAGGATTAGTTTATGATCTTTTCCTGGCAATAACCGATTTTTATTCTTAAATATCTCTTTTGTACCTAAATTATTTCCAAGGACCT